CGTGAGCGTCACAGCCACGGGGATCTTTGCTGGGGGGGGGGGGGCAACTCCAACTCGCACTACGTGGCCCAGGCAATCGGCCACAAGCTGAGCTCGCGCGGCAAAACAAAAACATCAACAGCCAACAACACAAAGATCAGGACAATGTTCGTTCAGGTGCAGGCCCTGCAATGTGTTTTTCTCTCATACCACTGCTGGTGAGAGGGTCTTGTCTGGAGAAAGAAATAGAAAGGCGATCTCTTACTTTACTGCAGCCTTTTAACCCTTTGTTTCTCAATCGTTCAAGAAATGTACAATGTTAACAAATACAAAGTAGTTTCACTCACGTGCCTAAGTTGCGTTTCTATGATTTTCCTTCTAAAAACAATCTGGCCATGTCTCGCACCCCAAGAAAGGGCATCTCGCACCTCCAGGGGGTGCAGGGTGCACCCCAGGTCAAGCAGCGCCGCACGAGGGGGTATCTTGGCCTATTCTTCCACGGTGGCCACCTCCGATGAGCACGGTTCGCTACGTATGTATGTTGAACTTTTTTCGCACCCTCCGTAGTCAAACTTATTCCACTATTTAACAATTTCTTTTAAAATATATAATCGATGTAAAATAAGGTGCCTTGAAGCGGTCTCTGAACAAAGTATGCAGCGTACCGGCGTTTGGCTCTTTCCACTGCCTGTGTGGCTCCCTTGTGCCGGGGGGCAGGCGCTCTGCGCGTTGCCGTCACCCGCATCCAAGCGCGTTGAGCCAGCGCCGTGCGCCTCGCGTCGGCGTTACGCCTCCCACCGCGGCCGTGTGTCCCGTGCAGACGCGCGGGAGTTACGCTACCACACCATCGTCCCCGTGGACGTTTATGAGAAAATACGTTTGGCTTGCTGGCTGGAGAGAGGGAAGGAAGGGACTGTCATGTCCAGAGGATGTGCGAGCTATTTGTCTAGATAGATCATTGGCAAGTGTCCGTCCGTCACGCTCTGCATCTCCCAAACGGTACGTGGGAGGAAAACGTACATAGAGTTGTGCAATAGGTTAGATCGCGTTAATTTATAAATGTGTCGTTAAAACCCGCCACCACCCGACACAGCCAACTAGTAAGGGTTGTCACGTAAACAGAACGTGGCAATTCGTCACTAGTACAGCACACTGGTGTGTTGGAGAGCCAAGCCACAACATTAACAATCTGAGTACGACGTTTCGCCAGTAATTACAACTAGCTTCATTAGGCGACAGCCAGATTTGTTAGGTGGTGGCGGGTTTTAATGACACATTAATATATTTATGCGATCTAACCCAAACACCTCTATTATGGATGATATTGGTCGCGAAAGCCTACGTGTTAAACCCCAGTCAACCTTCGCTCAGTGGGAGGTCGCTTATTCTGCTCTGCTGCCCCCACAGCCTGCGAATCCCTTCCGCCCGTCATCCGTGCTGTCCCTGTGGAGCCCAGACTCATCACCCTTTGATTATTTTCTGACAATTACTATTTCTTCTTTAGAAATTCGTGTTGGGGATATACACACACACATCTCCTTCTCGAAGTGATGCACGTCCCGCTATTTGGTATGGTGTGGTTGCATTTAGACGCAGTATAAAATCGAAATCCTGCTTTCATTGTAATTGCATGATTTGCAGCTTAAATCAGAGATACACAGCCAAAGCAAATGTCAACGCATTAATCCGTCGTGAAGTCGATGTTTGGGCCACCGTGTATATCCATGCCATAGTCCGATTCCGTAAATGATCACTGTCGGTGATGTGTGAAAGGTTCGAGGTGACCAAGTGGCTCAGAGCATGGAGATCCTGGGTTCGAGTCCAGGTTTCAACCGCACGCGATCCATCAGCGTTCTCAAGCGAAGCCAGTTTCATGGTTTCGGCTTGGTCGACAATGACATTTGACAAATTCAGTTTGATGTTTCGCTCAAATTGCCTAAATTCCAGCTCGGATTTGGATTTAATCGACACGGGACGAACAATTTGCAGGAAAATAGGAGCCGGGGGGGCAGCGTGGATGAAGAGGCCAAGTGAAGTGGATTGAGAAGTTGGTCTGTGAGGTCATCTTTCGGGGCCTTTGTCTGGCACAGGGTGATGCACTGCCAGCTTCCGGAGTTGCACTTGCATAGGCCTTTGTCTTAGGGTACGATACCGGTGACTCAATCAGAATATAATTTTGGAAAACAAAATATAAAACATTGCAGTCAAATTGAAAAGTGTTTACAGCACGGAGGATCATTATGCACGCTTATAGTATCACAGCAATCTACACGCATAGCACTATTAGGTCTGTATGTGCATGCTCTGTTTTAGATGCTTTGCTCCTGAATCAGGTTTTATATATATATAGCACTGAATGCGTAAGGCACCATCGCCCTCTGCTGACAGAGTTGCAATTTCACAAGCGTATCGGTCCATCGTGCGATGTATTTATGACGCCTGTACCCTGGGAGCCTCAGCTAGTCTCGTGACTCGCTATCTGACGGGTCCTGCCAGGTTTTCGTAGCAGTCTGCGATGATGGCTACACATAGCATATTTCAATTAAGTGATTCGCGAGTAATTTAATTGTTTTAATTTGGCAAACTTGGACCATGACGCTGGCACGCAATGTTTCCACTCTTGCGAATTACGGCACGGGGGGAATCTTTGACGTCCACTGTGAAGCAGACGGCGCCGACTATTGTTACGCTTCGTACACACACCGCGGTATTAACTAGCGCGGCTGTTGGATTTCGAACCAGGAAACCTCTGCGACGAGCGGCGAACGGCACAAACCGCTGCGCCGCGTCTCCCGGGAGATGCTTTCACAGCCAGGACGCAACCTTTGAACGCGCGGTCCCCCGTGAGCACGAGCGCACGCCACAAGCAGCGCGCACGGTCCACGCTTTACGTGCTACCGGACGAGCATTGATTCATAGCCCCCTGCAAATTGATGGATTTTTTTTCCCATCAATTGGGTTATTTTGGTCACCAGTTTAAATATATAGTGGCTGCAGGGGATCGTGAGCATTGGATGTTTGTGCATGCATACGTGTATTTGTGTGTGTGTCTCTATGTGTGTGGGGAGTGGTAGTGTGGTAGTTAGCGGGGTACGCTACACACCCGACGAGCCGGGTTCGATCCCCACCCACGGCCAACACCAGTGAAGAATGATCTGAACCGGTCCTGGGCCTTCCCCAGGTCGACTCCGCCTCAAATGAATACCTGGTGCGGTGTGTAAACATTGCTACTCGGGAGACAAAGGCGGCCGGGCGTGGTGATGGCCACCCACGCAATCATGTGCCATGCCGAGCTTCATAATTCGCAAACAGCACATGCCCCAAAAGTCCGTGAATGCTATACAAGGGATCTTTGTCTTGTCTTTGTGGTATGCGTTGTGCTTCTTGTGCGAACTGCATTGTGTGTTACAGCCTTCCTGTGTCACAGCCTTCTCGTGTACCAAATTCTACCTCGGGGACGGCGTTGAAGCCACGCGAAATGAATCGCGATTGTTTACCATCTCTGTACGCGTGCGCGTGGTGCGACTCGAGAGACACAAAGAGAGAGACGAGAGAGATCCTCATGGAACGACGAGACAATGATCATCCATCTCCATTTGCACGCACGCACGGACGCTTCACCAGGTAAATCTACCTGTGCGGACGCGATGCGCGCGCGCGAGCGATGCAACACGAGCCAGGGTATTGTGTGCCCCCTTTGTTTATCTGTGCACCACGGTTGTTGATGCAGAGAGGCCTGTTTACTTAAACAATACTGAATAGGCATCCTCCTCCTGCTATCGCGGGCGTATTATATTGCGGCAATGAGCCCTGTGCGGGGCCACTACCACGTTTATGGCTTCTGCTGCTGCTGCTGCGTAATTTCATCGGTAGTTTTCGGCCAACACGGAAGACCATATGTTCCTCGCGTGCATTATTCCCATGCACGTCTGCCGTTCCGTGTGCAACATTCTGTTTACTGCGTAACACAATCAAACTGCAATTTTCGCTAATGGCACGATTAAATTAAATTACTCACAAATGGAAAACAAAATGTAATTGAAGAATGATTGATTGCGTTGGGCTTGTAAAATATAAAATGTAAAATAAAAATCACGTTATTGGACATGCCCGACACTTCATAATCGTTTCTTTAACAGTCTCACGGAGTCCCGAGACACATTTGCAGAATCTTACCGCTTGGGATATTTGGTCCATTCCTTGTTTGAATCACGAGGGCCTCCTCAAGCTGAAAGGGTGATTTGACAATCCTTTACTCATGTTCCTGGGTTTGCTAAAGTACGTTACCATATTAATTTACCCAAGAATGCCTCACAGATTCTCGGTAGTAGTTTTTAAGAGGATCTCGCCAAGGTTCGCTGTAGGGGGCGATGTTGCTCTAATTTTCCATCGAGGATTTTTTTTTATTTTGGCCAAATGTGGACCGTGACGCTGGCACACATGGGCGACTATTTTTCAGACGTCATCGGATCTTGTACACTCGCATGTGAAGCAGACGCGGTGTGCGTTTTGAATGTTTAACGTGCCCGCCGCAGTATTAACTAGGGCTGCCCTGGAGTGCAACCCGCGAACCTCTGCTACCAGCTGTAAAACGTGCCGGCGCTCTAAACTATAAAACTATTTTTTCCCCGGGTAAGGATCACTGAGCAATATAGCTGTTTTTTTCAGACGCTACCTGGCCAAAAATGGTACCTCAACGAAGTGGCTTGTCACGTGGAAATTTATAGCAGGAGCCAAAAACTTTAAACGCGTGTTTTTTAAATGCGGAGGGAAAAACCAAAGGACCCGGAGAAAAATCCATACGACCACGGGGAGATAACACGCAAACTCATAATATACGGCAGACTTCAGGGTCGGGATCGAATCCACAACCTCCTGTATACCGGGCGAGGTAGTTAACATCTCCTAGCCACCGTGGCGCTTGGCCCTGCGACGAGCGACGCAACGCCCAACCGCACGGTGCAGGCGCGCCACAACGCTGGCTGGCGGTGGCGCAAGCGCCGTCGCCATCGCTCGCTCACCTGCGTGACCTTCTCGGTGACGTTCTGCGTGCGCTCCTTGACGCGCGGGGCGATGAGGCGGCGCTCCGAGGTGGGCGGCGACACGGGCGAGGCGCCCGAGTGCAGCTCGGCCAAGTTGAGCGTGAGCTGCGGCAGTTTGCTCAGCGCCCGGTAGCGCATCAGGTCCGAGTCGGACGTCGAGTTGAGCAGCGGCGGCTTCACGTGGTTGCCCGTGCCGCCCTCCGCCGCCCCCACTTTGGCACGGGCCAGAGCAGAGTCGCGGCAGTAGGTGGGGGGCATTGAGAATGTGAACGAGAAACGAGAAAGGCGTGAGTGGAACTGAGCGAGGCACAGACTGGTGTGGGATCACGTGATCCGAAGGCCGCTGTGTGTCCGAACCAGCCGTCCAGGATCATTATTGCACTCTTACTAATTATGTTTTGGCGGACTTAAAATCATGCAACGCAATACAATTTGGAGTCTAACTGCAATGCAAGTTCACGTCTTTGCATCTTGTTAGTTTTCACACGCTTGCATTGGTTGTTACGATACAATTGCTGGAGTGCAGCATCTGAAAGCTGATCATTAATGGATAGATACAAAATAATTCTGAACATGAAATGGGACATTGCCCCAGTTGCCATTAAAATCATCTCGTGGATTGTAAGGGCGCCAATTAGTTTTTTTTGCAAATTAACTTAGAATTAATTATAATTATGAATAACCAAGGGATAACACTTCCGTCCATGTAAACAAACGCATAATACAACTGAGCGTAATTGAAATTATTATTTTTGTCTTTATTCGTTTAAAAAATGTTGCATGAACTAACAATGTTAATTGCATTATAATAACGTCATACGCATCTCTAATAGGTTACATTAATATTGCCGGGTGGAAACTGCACAATTTAATTGGAGCACTGATTAGAACGGACGACCTCGAGCCGCAAAAACTCAAGGCCCGTTATTGTTCACGTCCATTACGGAAGAGGTGAAACTAAAAAAGTAAACCAAACACGACCCGTTTGGTCTCTGCGGAGTGCGACGCGTGCGGAAAGTGGGAGCCGCTCACTCGCCAACTCCGCTCTCGCGCGGACGCCGCCGGCACGCCGCTTTACGGAGTCGGCCACGTGCGGTGCAAAAGAAGTTCGACATTGTGCGTGCAGAGCGCTCGCGCGCGCAACTGCGTATCGATTAGACGTTAAAACAACAAAGATACGAAGGGAACGTGAGTCAGTGGAAACGCTGCAGGCGCAGGGGTGTAAACACGTGCCACGCAAAGTCCAAGAGCGAGAGACTGCCTTGCGCAGTGCAGGGAGACGAACGGCACGAGTTTCACTCGTCGGTTACGATGATGGCATCACGAAACAGTGGCTATTAGAATCACTTTGTGGCTAAAAAGGATGCTGGTTTTCCTTCTGCTTTCAAATGAACTTGTAATCAATTAAAAAATAATCGTAAAAATAATCAATAATCTACCTTATAATTTACCACCCCCAGGATGGTCACCGCTGTGAGCAGTGGCTTATGAGCAATGCAGTGGCCTAGCGTGGATGGCACGGGCCCTGGTGGAAGGGATGCAATGGGGGCCTCCGGCCGATTCCCTCTCCTCTTGGCAGCCTGGTGCCTGGGGTCCTCGGACCCGTGGGTTCCTGTGCAGCTGCACCACCTGCACACTCCATAACCACGTGGGTCCCTGTGCAGCTGCACAGCCTGCACAATCCATAGACACGTGGGTTCCTGTGCAGCTGCACTGCCTGCACACTCCATAGTCACGCGGGTTCCTGTGCAGCTGCACTGCCTGCACACTGCATTGTCACGTGGGTTCCTGTGCAGCTGCACTGCCTGCACACTCCATAGTCACGTGGGTTCCTGTGCAGTTGCACTGCCTGCACACTCCATAGTCACGCGGGTTCCTGTGCAGCTGCACTGCCTGCACACTGCATTGTCACGTGGGTTCCTGTGCAGCTGCACTGCCTGCACACTCCATAGTCACGTGGGTTCCTGTGCAGCTGCACTGCCTGCACACTCCATAGCCACGCGGGTTCCTGTGCAGCTGCACAGCCTGCACACTCCATAACCACAGGATCCGCAGGCGCTTCTCATCACGGTCCCCGCGACTGTATCAAAAACCCAACACATTCGTCAATAACTCTCCCCTACCGTCTGTGTATAATCGGCGACGTTTCTTCATAGCACACAGATGACGCTGTGCACGAGGGCCATTTGGGGCAGTGTTCGTGACGGGTGTGCTGCACATGTGTTGTGCTCGTGACGGGTGTGCTGCACGTGTGTTGTGTTCGTGACGGGTGTGCTGCACGTGTGTTGTGTTCGTGACGGGTGTGCTGCACGTGTGTTGTGTTCGTGACGGGTGTGCTGCACGTGTGTTGTGTTCGTGACGGGTGTGCTGCACGTGTGTTGTGTTCGTGACAGGTGTGCTGCACGTGTGTTGTGTTCGTGATGGGTGTGCTGCACGTGTGTTGTGTTCGTGACGGGTGTGCTGCACGTGTGTTGTGTTCGTGACGGGTGTGCTGCACGTGTGTTGTGCTCGTGACGGGTGTGCTGCACGTGTGTTGTGTTCGTGACGGGTGTGCTGCACGTGTGTTGTGTTCGTGATGGGTGTGCTGCACGTGTGTTGTGTTCGTGACGGGTGTGCTGCACGTGTGTTGTGCTCGTGACGGGTGTGCTGCACGTGTGTTGTGTTCGTGACGGGTGTGCTGCACGTGTGTTGTGTTCGTGACGGGTGTGCTGCACGTGTGTTGTGTTCGTGATGGGTGTGCTGCACGTGTGTTGTGTTCGTGACGGGTGTGCTGCACGTGTGTTGTGTTCGTGACGGGTGTGCTGCACGTGTGTTGTGTTCGTGACGGGTGTGCTGCACGTGTGTTGTGTTCGTGATGGGTGTGCTGCACGTGTGTTGTGTTCGTGATGGGTGTGCTGCACGTGTGTTGTGTTCGTGACGGGTGTGCTGCACGTGTGTTGTGTTCGTGATGGGTGTGCTGCACGTGTGTTGTGTTCATGACGGGTGTGCTGCACGTGTGTTGTGTTCGTGACGGGTGTGCTGCACGTGTGTTGTGTTCGTGACGGGTGTGCTGCACTGTGTTGTGCTCGTGACGGGTGTGCTGCACGTGTGTTGTGTTCGTGACGGGTGTGCTGCAAGTGTGTTGTGTTCGTGACGGGTGTGCTGCACGTGTGTTGTGTTCGTGACGGGTGTGCTGCATGTGTGTTGTGTTTGTGACGGGTGTGCTGCACTGTGGTGTGTTCGTGACGGGTGTGCTGCACGTGTGTTGTGTTCGTGACGGGTGTGCTGCATGTGTGTTGTGTTCGTGACGGGTGTGCTGCACTGTGGTGTGCTGCACGTGTGTTGTGTTCGTGACGGGTGTGCTGCACGTGTGTTGTGTTCGTGACGGGTGTGCTGCACTGTGTTGTGCTCGTGACGGGTGTGCTGCACGTGTGTTGTGTTCGTGACGGGTGTGCTGCAAGTGTGTTGTGTTCGTGACGGGTGTGCTGCACGTGTGTTGTGTTCGTGACGGGTGTGCTGCACGTGTGTTGTGCTCGTGACGGGTGTGCTGCACGTGTGTTGTGTTCGTGACGGGTGTGCTGCACGTGTGTTGTGTTCGTGACGGGTGTGCTGCATGTGTGTTGTGTTCGTGACGGGTGTGCTGCACTGTGGTGTGCTGCACGTGTGTTGTGTTCGTGACGGGTGTGCTGCACGTGTGTTGTGCTCGTGACGGGTGTGCTGCACGTGTGTTGTGTTCGTGACGGGTGTGCTGCACGTGTGTTGTGTTCGTGACGGGTGTGCTGCACGTGTGTTGTGCTGCACGTGTGTTGTGTTCGTGCACCACTGCCAGCACCGTGTGAGGAATGAATGTCCGAATGTTTTAAATGTCGAATTCATGATCTGGAAACCTTTGCTCGTGTCTGCGCCAACAAAAACGGCCCGTCGGCAGATGTCTTATCACAAAACATTTCTGCAAACCCGCGAACGTAGGTTAATTAAGGGTGGCGACAAGATTTGTGTTGTTGGTCTTGGGGGAAATAGGCCAAGAGGCAGAGCAACGCTGTTTGAAGACTTCACTACAAGGAGTCTATCGAGTGAAATGAAGAAGACAGCTCAAGATCATAAGAACCTAGGAACATAACAAGGGTTACAAACGAGGGAGGGGGGCATTCTGCTGAACCATAGAGCTCGCTGGGTTGTTCGTCGCGATATTGATCACGTATCTCATCAAGGCGTTTGTTGAAAAGTCCCCCAGTGAATCAGCTTCCAGAACTCTGCCCGTTCCAGCCTCCCACATATCTTTTTTTTATTTATTCAAAATAAACATCCTCGTAATTTTGATTCTGAATTTTCCTACATGAAGCTTCGACTCGTTTTAGGACGGAAGGAGCTCGAGCCAAAGAACTGTCAAATAAAGAAGAGAGAGAGACCCTTCACCTCGGTCCACTCCTGACACTCAAGCTCCTTCATAGAAGTAGCTGGGGCAAATCATCGGCAGACAAGCGTGAGCTCCAGTCTGTGTGGATGGTACTTGGGGTTCCAGTTTACTGATTGTCTTCGCTTTGTCAAATTATAATTTCTTGCCCTTCTTTTGCAAAATAACTTCGTCACGTTTTTTTAATGCATACAACCGATTCCTGTAACACGTACCGCTACTCGCCGTCTGTATCGCGAGCTGTAACAATTATTGTAACTAACAGCTGCACTGTATAACATCTGAAAGAAACTTACAGCTCATTGAGGCCTTCCTGCTGAAATAAAATGTTATGTAAAAAAATATAATATTTAAACCGTAAACCGTATTTATTTGAAATGTAATATCACCTTCACTCAAGGGGGTATCAACACATTGTACACTAAAATTAAATGCGAAGACAATAAAATCATGTTTAAGTAAAAGCCATGAGAAAATAATGAGTCTTGCACTCCCTCCTACAAACACTGAGGCTCGTCGCGTGCCGGATTCACCGCCGGCAAGGCATTCCAGATTACAAATTACATTTCCTCGTTCCATTTCATACGTAGGCTTTCACGGCCAATATGATTTATAATAGTTTTATGCGGGGTAAGGTTGCCTAAGTAAAATTGTGTGTTGTCACCCCTCCTCCACCCGACACGGCCAGTAAATAAAAGTGTCACGAGAATCAAAGCTGCCCAATGTCGTACTGCTTCAGCAGCACACCACCGGCGTTGTAGTTGTTGTTGTTTTGTTGTTGTTGTTGTTGTCCTTGGAGGGGAATCTCAACGACGTTGAAGTGGCTGCAGACGTTTCGCTGGAGACCACATCCAGCACCATCAGGTTTGTTAATGGGAGCTCACATCTCGAGATCGACCCATTGTAAATGTTGTCAGATCGCTCTCCAACAACAACAACAACAGAGGTGGTGCTGCCGAAGCAGTAAGACATCTGTCTCCTTTGATTCGCGTGACTCTTTAATCAACTGACCGTGTCGGGTGGAGGAGGGTTTACGACACACATTTTTTACCCAAAGAAACCAATTTTGAAAAATGTTCTTGTTCGCGAAACAAGGAAGGGGGCAGTTTCAGTCGCAAAAAACCCAAATCCTGCCAGCGCAGGGCACGCCTCTGCGCTGGCAACGCAAGGCTGTGACACGCAGAAACCTTCAATGCAGTTGAAAGTTGCATGCAGTTGTCTGACAGTTGCTTCTGATTACCGTCTCACTTGGCCGCCTACTTATTATTTTTTACTTTGCCTTGTTTTGGTTTTTGTTGTTGACTTTTTTGATATTTGGCCGCGTTAATTGATGGGGTTTGCCACGATTCTTGCCTCTCGCTGATCTGATCGGTATGTAGTCTTATTATTTTCTTCTGTTTTGAATATTTAGTTTTGCATTAAGACCAGCATACTCTTATGCAATTCACTTCTGATTGTTGTCTAACTCATTTGGTTGGCAGGTTTTTAATATAATTTATCCTTAGTTCGTTTACGTGTCTTTCATACGTTTCGTGTGTTAATCGTTTCATTTTCTTGCGAGCCTTGTTGAGGTTATTTTGCATTTAACTGTTAATCGGTAAGTGGACACATTGCGTGCGCGCGACTTCCGTAGTCCTCCATTTCCCTGCCCGACGCCAGATCCCCATCGACAAAAAAAGAGACGTCTGCTCTCCAACGGTTGCTCGCCCAGTTGAAGAGTGACCGACGGGGACCCGGCAACCTGACCATGCCGCTGCGTCTCACATCGGAACGCCCCACGCGGTTTCAGCCGGCGAGCAACGACGCGTCGATTCGCCGGCTCTGAAATCGATTCTCACGACGCAACGTGTCGAAGCAGCACGTGCGCAACAACTATTTTGGGCTATTGCTGAATAATTATTTGCGTGTTATAAGCCGATGTCACGTTTAGGTTCATGGGACAAACAAAACCGTGCGAACGAGACGAGCATGAAGCCAGAGAGGATACAAACGAAATTGTAGAAAGGGGACAAGAATATTAAATAAATAAAAAAGCGGTGACCCTGTGTCATGGCCCCAAATCAAGTTTCTGGGGTGAGTGGGGGTGAGTCGGTGCATACCTCATTTGCATGCACACGTCATTAAAACTCCCATGGGTCAGCGTGAGCAGTGGCTGTGGTTTCTTTGCGAAGGGTCGGTGAACTGCGGTGCACCTTCATGCTCCCGTTGGGGATTGACTTTCAAGTGGCCATTAATATCCGTAAAATCCGTCAAAGAATCTGGCATAAAATATGCAGAGGCTGCACTCGATTGGTGCATTATGCATGGAAGACAGAAGCACGTGGGCTACATTATTTATCTCCGGCTGCGATCGCGGGGAAGGTGAGGAGAGTGCACGCAGCCCTTAATGATGAACACCACCTTCACCCGAGTTGAACCAAACCTGACCGCGCAGAGTCAGGTGTCTTATCCGATGTTATCGGCTCACCAACATGGGCTCTGCCGAGGGGCATCGCTTACCGAGTAATCGCGTGCCAACGGCGCACGCCATGCGGAGGGTGCAACTTGAAAGTTCGGAAGAGAACGTGTCAGGAAAGTACCACCGCGTAAGGCCTTCTCGGTTGTGTTGTATGGCTCTCCGATGCCGAACAACACGCGGCACAGCCCGAAAACACATCGGCAGGAGGGTGCCGTAGATGTAATCTGGAGGACGAGGCTTTGAGGCTGTGATCGATGGGACGTGAGTGCAGGTGCTGGAACAAAGCAGGTTAGCCAGACGGGCATTGGAGCGGCTCCCAGAGGTCAGCGACCAAGGGGAAGACCTCAAGCCAGAGACGGTAGTGGTGGTGAGCAAGGAGAGATGCTGGAGGTCACGTGTTCGCTGCGCAACAGCTCCCAGGAGGAAGAAATCAATGGCGAGGTGCGGTGGCATCAACGGCGCTGGCCGTGATGCCCTCTTTAACTCGACTATCCATGATACGGACTCTTAATAGAGTCGAGCCACAATGCATGAGGATCTTTTGAAGTGAACGTGCCTGCGGTGTGTGCCGCCCTAGCATTGCGCAAGTTACATCAGTCAGACGTAGTCCCTTTGACGCGCTCGGGTGATTCCCATAATGTGAGATGGGCCACATTTCTCTGCTCATTCACCGGGGCTGTCACGGCGCTCACGCCGTCCCCAGCGAGGCCGGTGGATTGACAGCGCCCCCCCCTTCCTCCCCGGTGCATTCCGGGTGGAATAAAAAAAAAGTGCTGTCGCACGACGCTGACCCATCGCGGCCCGGCGCGGACCAGAGTGGCGCTTGCCGGGGGACGAGTTGATGACGGCTACGATTTACCGCGTGACCCCGGGTGAACTTTACTCCAATAGCTTCTTCTACAGCGGCCCAATAGAGAGACAATCACCCGTGATCCAGTCATCCATCAAAACGCGCGCGCGCAACCTCCTGTTCATCTGCACGCCACCGACATCATCCGTCCAATTTAATGTCAAATCGCTTGAATAACCATGAAAGGATAACATGAAAAAAAAAAAACTCTTCTAAATTTTTTTTTACGTTTAATGATGTGATCGCTTACCGGAGCTGGAGTGGCGGGTGTGGAAGCTCCATTTGACCCTGTCGCCCCACGCCCCAATTTCCACGTCGTCGACGGAGGAAGCTCGTCGTAAACTCCGCACGCTCTCGCGTGACCTGGCACAACGGACGGCGCGCACGCGAGCAGCTTGCTGAGAAGCGGTCGTTTTCACAGCGGTGGTTCATCGTGCGCCGCGCCATCGCCGCGTCGCGCGCTTTCAGATGCGCGCTTCTGCGGCCATCTGGAACGCTCTTTCTTATAAAGCCACTGGAGATATGCATTTTTAAGATCGAGATTTAAAAATAATTTCTGTCGAGCTGCTTTTTGCGTTCAGTTTGTTGTCCTTCTCCCGCACCTTCGATTAGCGCGATTGGCTAAGTACGGTGCGGAAAAAGTTCAACATGCAGTACATAGAACATAGCTGGGTAGATTTTTTTACGACTCAAGTAATACTAATAATGACTAAATTTGTGAATTAATTTTCCCAGGAGAGTCTCACAAGAGTTTTTGAAGAGGGTTCTGGATCGAGACGTTTGGCCTGTTCTCCTGTTGCCCCGAGAATATCTCGCGGCCATAACAAGGAGATAACACTCACAGGTGCACACTTTGCGGACCAATTCTCTGTCCCACAATCTGATGGCCACATTAGTGTCGAGCGCCTTTGGGAATCGATGTTGCAGAAGGCGGAATATTTGCGTGGTATCATCATCGCAACAGTGGGCATGGAATCAGAGCTCAGCTGCTCTTGCTCCGCGAAGGGTGACCAACACAGCGGCATTCGTAGAACATTAACTTCAATCGAATCCGTATTGGTTAGAAAAACTCACCAGAACAGAAAAACGCCATCAAGACATGAACTGCATGGGTCAACAAAGGTAAGGAACGGCAGCCATCGCGACGAGCACAAGACCGTACCTGGAGCGCGTGAGGCTGGAGCTGGAGCCCCCGAGGGGATGGCCCACGGCGAGACGGTCGCGGTTCCAGCGGAGGAACGGGTAAGGCCCCACCTCCATCTCGGCCTGCGACCCGGACTCCTCTCCCGCGGCCGCCGCTGCCGTCTTCCGTCCGCCGGGAGTGGGTGCGGCGTCCGGGCTGAGGTTGAGCGGCGTGGTGACATCGGCGTCCGAGCCCTTGCCGGAGCAGCGGTGGCGGCTGACGCTCGCCACCATGGCCATCGACTCGGGGCTCTCGCCGCCGCCGCCGCCGTCGCCGCTCAGGGCCGAAGCGACCGCGGCCTCGGGGTCGCGGCGAGACAGCGAGCGCCGGCTGGCAGAGAGCGCGCGGAGGGACGGGAGCCCCAGCCGGAAGGGCAGCCCCGAATCTGCGGGGAAAGGGCGGAGGTGGTGAGCGGCGTCGTGGGACTCGGCGGTCAGGCCGCTTGCCGGAGGTGGTGAGGGCTGTTTCAGAATCAGAATCTTTACTCATCCTGAAGAAATCCCATGAGCTATGAAGCTCTTTTTAACGGATGTCCATCATCTGACCGCATGTCGCCACGTTAGTCGTGCGGATTGGTGCACGTGGGTAGTATAGATATTGAAGCGTGAGACATTGCTGCACTGCCCTCGGCTGACTTGACGCCACCACAGCCTACAGCAACACATGTTTTTTGCCCATCCAAGCTCTATCCAGGCTCAATGCTGCTTAGCTTCTGATATCTGACGAGACCGGACACATTCTGGTGATTAAGTCATCATGTTTGGTGAAAACGGGGACAATAAAAATGCAACTGCAGGCCTCCAACACTCCCAGACTTCACTGAGGTCTCATTCAGTTGCCACAATGTTCATGAATGTGTGTGTGTGAGCGTCACACAATCACAATGGGATTGTCGAAAATTAATTAGACATTTAATTAGACACTCTGTACACACATTAATCCATTCAGAATGTAATTGTCCGAATACTTACAGACGTAAGATACACATTCCTGAGACGAACCTTACTAAACCACGCACACTGGAATCACACACACACACACGCGCGGGCGCACATACACACTATAACACTACACACGCAGCTGTGGGTTCTGGTGAACACACAGGTGAACATTTACACATTCTCTCAAACCAAACCAAGTAGTTTCTCACAAAGGTTTGAGAATGAGACTTTAAAACGTCAGCTAAATTGATCACTTTACATCTCAATATAACGCTACCTCCTATTAAAGCCGCCCGTTCTAACTTACGAGCAACAGAGCGCTCCTTTAATCTAACTCAAGAGGCGTTGACGTGTTTTTCCTTCTCAGACTCGCAATAATCTTTGATCACCCGCTCGTAACATCTCAGTGACATATAAAAACGTTTCCCCCGCCAGCGGCTCCCCACGTCTCACGCGCGTTCCGGCGGAATGTTCCCGCTGTAGCGGAGAGGGTCTCTGACGCTGCTGCCGTACACATTTCTCTGTAATTGGAAGGTTATAGGCTATTAAAATTCTAGACCGCCGCGGACAAGGAGACGATTAGAATGAAATCCGCAGAAAACTTTCTCATCACGCTGACTTAGCAGCAGCAGCAGCGCTACGTTTCCGCCCGTGCAGAAATAGAGAGCAGAACCGAGGGCGATGTTAATGAATCTACCTTGTTACATGCTCTACTTGCAAGAGCACATGGCGACCAGGCTAATTGACAGCTACATCAGTATAGCTATTGTTATAAATAGTTGTTCTGAGGATGTGAAGAACTCGGATACTAAAGTGTGAGTTCCCACTCAACAGCATGTGGGCCATCGCTCATCCCTATTTATAACCCCGAGTGAGTCCGTGGAAATTCCACATTCCTATGGCAGGGGTGAATTATAGCAATCGGCTGGATAAGTTTAATACAGGTCAACTAATTGTTGAATAACTTGAACACGAGCTGTGGAAAGGTGACTTTTTCAAGGGGGGGGGGGGGGGGGGATAATTGATGTTGCGATGTGTGGGTGATGCGGCCCCAGCGTCGCGCAAGGTGCAGTGTCAGCACTCGGTGAATGGTGCCGGTGGGTCCCCCGAGACCACCCTGGGACTCGTTGGTGCTGCCCCCGGCTGCCCCTGGGTGCCCCTGGAGATCGCTGTCGGTGCTGGGGTCCACGCGTTACCCCTGGAGATCGTTGTCGGTGCTGGGGTCCACGCGTTACCCCTGGGGCTCGTTGCTGTTGAGCCCTGGTTACTGTATCCTCTTGCGTTTGACCTCGTTGACCCTGGGCCATGCTATGCACTCTCACTCCTCTCTCGTTCCTCTTGGGCTCCTCTCTCTCCTCTGTCTCCTGCGTATGCGTGCTCTCACCTGGCCCAGTACAACGCGTTTAGATTATTTGGAGTATTTGGCTGCTATAAATGTCCACATGATGAAAAGCCACTTCGCTGAGCTATCATTTGTGGCCAGGTCGCTTATGAAAACGAAACTAACAGCTCAGTGGGCCTTACCTGGTCACGTTCTGACCCGCCCCTCCTGGACATGTCAAAAAGAGCTTTATTGCTCTTCGGATTCCTCCACTTTAAATATTCTGATACTGAAAAAGCACAACTCCACCCCCCCCCCCCCAAAAAAAAAACCTCATTTCACCTTCTCAAACGAAACATTTAGACGATACATACATTGTCATTGTTGTTGTCAACGCCGGCGAGCTTATTCCACGTTGTCAAAAAAAGAGGAAGCTTTATTGGAAGTGATGTGCGTTCTTAATGTAATCTGGCCTCTATGAGGACAGACAGAGCCTTTGGCTAATCAGAGTGCTCGACAATAAACGTTCGTGTCGATCTGTCCCAATGTTGGCGCACATATCCCTTGCCTGCGCCCTGCTCATATCCTGACTGGGCACCGCGTGTCACTGTGGGTGTGTCACCGTGGGTGTGTCACGTGTCACTGTGGGTGTGTCACTGTGGGTGTGTCACTGTGGGTGTGTCACGTGTCACTGTGGGTGTGTCACGTGTAACTGTGGGTGTGTCACTGTGGGTGTGTCGCGTGTCACTGTGGGTGTGCCACTGTGGGTGTGTCACTGTGGGTGTGTCACGTGTCACTGTGGGCGTGTCACTGTGGGTGTGTCACGTGTCACTGTGGGTGTGCCACTGTGGGTGTGTCGCGTGTCACTGTGGGTGTGCCACTGTGGGTGTGTCACTGTGGGTGTGTCGCGTGTCACTGTGGGTGTGCCACTGTGGGTGTGTCGCGTGTCACTGTGGGTGTGTCACTGTCGGCGCCAGTGAAAGTGTGGCAGCTGCGGTAAACTCAAGCCGGCACTGCCGACGCTGAGCGCCTCTCCGCAACTGGTGAGTTGCACGAGCCACAGTGACACCAGTTGTGTCTTCCCCACATCTATCAGCGGCAACAGCTGTTATGGCCCCTCGCTATCGACCAGGAGGCCTGTGAATGATTCCCGGCCATGGCTGGCATCAGCACGGCGAGTGATATCTGACCTCGTCCTTGGCCTCCCCGATTCACCAGCCAGCACTGACCAGCGTGGTGAAGTGTAGTCAAACAGACCCCATGACCGACACGGCATTGGGGGGGGGGGAGCTTCATTCAACAGAGGAGAACATTCTTATTGTCATTAATTAAATTATGCTCATATTAAATTGCGCTGTCTTGAGACAAATACATTTCCATTCAGAGCTCTCCAGAGCTCAATCGCTGACCGCATTCTTCCCGGCCCTCTGCTGGACTCGTGTAGGCGCCGTGACCACAGGCGAAGCGAGTGCTGTGCTGGATGCTGTGTGCAGAGCGTATGCATAGTTCCACGTAGCTGACCCAGACACATTCAGCCCTGGAGCTACCCCTGTGGCAATGCACGACGCTTTGAGCAGAGTCACCTTAACAACATCGCTCATCACACGAGAGAGAGGGCGCGTTCCCCTCCAGCCCCAACTCCCCTGCCATGAAGTCCACCAGCCCTCTCCCACGCTGGTCAAACGGTGCCGCCCACTGGTCTACTTTGGTTATCATGGCTCCTGGTGCTAGGAATTAAATTCGGAATAAGCCCCCCACCACTCTGCCCCATTCCCTCCCCCCTTCGTTGCCCCCATGGCCGGGTGAGCTTTTGGCCACTGGGGGAAGGGGGCTCTGCGCAGTTGCACTGCCTGCACACTCGATAGCTGCGCAACTCGTGCCGCGACCTCCCCCGCTGCCCCCCCCCCGCCACACTCAGCTCGTTGTCCTCCCACCCGTGCCAGGCGTGGGCCCACTTACACGTGGAGAACTTGGCCCAGCCCATGGCGCGCTGGTTCCGGCTCTCCAGCTCCGGGCTCTCGGCATCGCACACCTCCTCGAAGTCGAGGATGAAGACGACCACATCGCCCTCCTCGTTTTTCACGGGGATGATGTGCGTCGCGACCAGGAAGCACGACCCTGGGTGGGAGAGACGCGAAGGCGGCAACAGCGGGGAAAGTCTCTCGGGCGATCGATTCCGCTGCGACGGGCGGCCTTGTCGTCACTGACAAGATTCGATGCGAGACGCCTCGATGATTCAGAGCCACGACGCGCCCTCGAGTCACGCGCACTGCAAGCGCGTGCCACGTGCGGTGGGACCCCCCCCCCCCTTCACACGTGGACACACAATGTTAAACGTGCATTCAACGCACCAGCCGCCCAAAGAGGTACTCTCCACAGGGTGACGCACTTAACGCACACCATGCGCATGCAAATCGCACACAAATGCACCCGAAAATCACTGCTCGCTCGCAAATGGCACGCGCACGTGACTCCCTCACACGCAAACACACTGCTCACACTCGATTCACTCACACTGCTCACGAATCACACTGCTTCCTACTGACTCATGCACACACGAATCATACACTTACTCCTCACTCACACACAACTCACTCACTGCTCACTCACACACAATTCACTCACTGCTCACTCACACACAATTCACTCACTGCTCACTCACACACAATTCACTCACTGCTCACACACAATTCACTCACTGCTCACTCGCTGTTCACTCACACACAATTCACTCACTGCTCACTCACACACAATTCACTCACTGCTCACTCACACACAATTCACTCACTCACACACAATTCACTCACTGCTCACACAATTCACTCACTGCTCACTCACGATTCACTCACTGTTCACTCACACACAATTCACTCACTGCTCACACACAATTCACTCACTGCTTACTCACGATTCACTCACTGTTCACTCACTGTTCACTCACACACAATTCACTCACTGCTCACTCACACACAATTCACTCACTGCTCACTCACACACAATTCACTCACTGCTCACACACAATTCACTCACTGCTCACTCACTGTTCACTCACACACAATTCACTCACTGCTCACTCACACACAATTCACCCACTGCTCACTCACTGTTCACTCACACACAAATCACTCACTGCTCACTCACACACAATTCACTCACTCACACACAATTCACTCACTGCTCACACAATTCACTCACTGCTCACTCACGATTCACTCACTGTTCACTCACACACAATTCACTCACTGCTCACACACAATTCACTCACTGCTTACTCACGATTCACTCACTGTTCACTCACTGCTCACTGATGATGGAACACGTGTGCTGGTTTGTGTATTCTCGCTTGGGACACACATTTCAGAATCACAATTATGATCTCTATTTATGCTGGAGGAATCCGATGAGCTATAAAGCTCTTTTTCACAGATGTCCAGTAGGGTCGTGTCAGAAAGTTAGAACAAACAATACGAAAACACGATAGGAGTGCAAGGTTTACGAAATCTAAGCAAATGATTTAAAAAGTAAAACTATTTTTTTGTTTCACCATTTAAAACATTTAAACACATTAAGGGTTTAAACTATGAGCCCTGAACACGTTGACCGGGTCCAATGACACAATGCGTAGTGTCAGAACGAACCCCCTATGATGCGGTCAATGTAGCACCACGATGATGACTCCCATTGTGTTCACTTCCAACGAGCGCCAACGCACGCGGATGCACGAGATTGTTATTTGTGATTCATCGTCACCATCAGCCACCGCCAACAAGTCAACACAACAATGTTTGGGACAAAATGAAAACCAACACGAGCAACAGGAAAGGAGAAAGTGAGACGACAATGGTTTTCTCTATTCTATTTTTTGGGGTCGTGTTCGTTTGGGATGGTGTCCGACGTTTCGTTTTCGCTGCCAGGAGCCTCTTTGTAAACAAGCGAGAGAAGAACTAACGTATTCTCATGACCATAAACGCTCCAACCACCCTGTTTTTATAGCCCGAGTTGGGAGTGCGTCTTGCATAATAGCAAGAGTTGTGTGTGCGCGCGTGCGTGACCAGATGTGCAGCAACGTCGTTGATCCTTGATACCCGTTTAAGGGCGCCTCTTACTTTCCGGAGAGGACGGTAGCACCAATGGCTGTGTGGACGTCTGCCACCTTCTGGTGAAACATAAACGCGATGAGAATGTGTGGACAGAAAAGGCACCAAATTTAGCCGTGGGTTATGGTGTTTGTACTCGCTGCTTCATCATCAGCCATGGTCAATCCACTGCTGGTTGCACAGTAGAGCATTAATTAAGTTCTGATACACGCACACCTATGATACACTTCCAATATAAGCACAGGTCAGATATCAGGCCACTTCCGAGCATTCCGGATGGTTTGGTCGCAAGGCACTGACCACAACCACATCACGGTCAACACTTATCACATTGCTATTGAGAACACAGGTATACACGTGCTTTGGGGAAAGCTTTCGTAATGCAAGACGCAAATTGCATTTTGACAAAGCAGCAAGGTCATCAACGCAATTTCACAGCCAATTGCCTGCGCTGTTGTTGGAGCGAGTGTGACTTTACAGATTCCATTGCAAAGCTGCTAAAGCCCTCGCAGCAGATGCGATTTCTGATCACAGGTGCCCTTTACGCAAACATTCATTGACCCCCCCCCCCCCCCCCAGCATAGGAATGGCAATCGTGAATTCAAGCCTTCGCTATGGATTTGTGCGTGGGTCGCACTGTGGCTTACAGCACAAGCAGTTGTTGTTATTATTTGCAAGCATTTGCTGCTCTCTTCACGTCGGTGATTTCACAGCAGAGGCAGCGGAGGTGATGGAGCCCTGAGCGCGAAGCCGCCTGTTGCACAGCGAGCGTGTGTGCGCAGATGTTGTTCCCGCAAAGGCAGCGCTTGCTGCATCCTCGCATGGGAAGATCTTCACTGTCATTAATCATGCACAAGCCCCTTCCTTCTTTGTCAGTCCCCCTGCTGGGCGAAGGCCTCCGCCGCATGCCGTGTCAGTCATCGTGGGGCTGGTTTTCCATAATTCAGCACGCTGGTCACTGCGGGTTGGTTATAGCCCACAGCGCGACTGTGGTTACCAATCTAAAACCGCGGACCACACGGTAACGCCACTGACCGCTTTGATCATTCTCCGGCAGCAGTTCAAAAACTATTCACCACGAGGCTCCTGCTGAAGCCGACCACTGGCTCAGTCACTCGCCAACCTTGACACGGACGCAGGGACGTTGCTGATCAACTCTCCGCCACTGCTGTAGTACAGGACACTTGCTCGTCATGAGTGACTGTATTTTGATGTGTGTACGCTGCATGGAATTCATTGGGTTCGCGCGACATCCGCAGCCACTAGCAGCACAGGGAACTGCATTCACCACACTGGCACACGCCCGTGCACACAGCTCTCGCGTCTGATCCACTGCTGGATGAGAGCCATATTCAGCAAAGTGCAAACACAACAGTGAATAAATTATAAAAACGCGATGCCAAATTGTAGATGATCGAATTCACCCATTTTGGAATTGGCCAAGTAAACAAGGCAGGGTCCTCTTGACAAAGAGTCGTCAGACTCGCAGACGTTTCTCGCAGGTAACAGAAGCACACGAGTAGTAACATCAAAACTAAAAACAACACCAGGTGGTTCCCCGCGGCTATGCTTCTATCGAAGCTGCAACTCTTCGCCTGTGGCATTAACAATGAAGCCTCCAAATTCTCACCAGCCACGTGGGTCGGTGATGGAATGAGAGGCAACAAATCCGTTTCCATTGGTTGACTAAGCCCATCATCCCTCTCGGGTCGATAAGTTGAATATCACCTGTGGCAATGTCAACAGTCGTTGTCCTATGGGTCGACTCGCATCTGCTATATAAATTTGTAGATTTTCCACCACTGCTTCAGGGGATGTAAACGGGAGATGAGCAGAGCACTCGCAACGCTCGTTTGAGCAGGAGATCACTGTGACCTTTGGCTAAGATTACCACTGGGCTATAAGTATATTGAGGGTGCCTTAGTCTGACTCTATGAGTGACAGCCGTTGAAAATGAACCATAATGAACCTTAAGGAGCCTTAATTACCTTCAGCCAAAACAGTTTTACAAAGGAAATGGCCAAACATCCCAATTCAGAACCGTCCTGAATAAAGTGTCTGAAGACTCGATGAGGGTACCTTGCATATATTAATGGCTTCATTGTTATTAGAGTCTCTGGCCCTTTGCACACTGAAGTGTCACTTGGTATATGTTGTGTAGTGACATAGAATTAGCCACGTAGCAGCATAGCGCTGGCTGCTGGCGGGGAAGGGGATCTGCGGCTTACAGCAGCCCTGACGTCAGCAGGCCACGTGATACACCAGATTGGATATCTGGGGGAAAGGTTACAGAAGGGGCACGTGGGGGATGCCCGAGGCCACGCTGGGAGCATAAAAGGGGGCCCTGAGCGAGAGCTCGGGGCTGTCGTTTGGAGTGGGATCCCCGTCATGCTGTTGAAGATCGTCGTCGCCATCGTCTCGTCGCCATCGTCGCTGTCGTCTTCACTGGACATTGCGCTGCTAGACGGTAGTTGGTTTTCTCGGTTCAGCGCCTTATGTAGTGTTGTGTATAGGCTAGCGACACACGTAGAATTGTGTATAAACGAGAGAGAGAGAAGAGTGTGTACCAGTGTAGGGTGTGTATTGGACAAAGGGTGCTCGATTAAATAAAATAACTGCCTCCAAGTCTTAGCGTCTCCGAGTAAGTCGCTACATATGTATTGGATACGTGGCTTCTGTGCGAGTCACTTATTCATTAACAAATGTCATGTAAATATGAGTAAAAAATGCAATAGAGATGATATAATAACAATGTCGATTGCGTGTTGTAATGTCATAATGCCCACATGCCACTGACATTCTGGAAATAGACACTTTAGTTTAACTTTCCATGTATCCAGCATGTCAATCGAGTCCCAGAACTTTTTGGAATCCCCAAAAAATCATGCGTATCACATCGGGGGTCATTTTAAACTGATACACACACATGCAGTACTTTCCCTGCCACTCCCATTCAATAAAACAAATGGCACGATCAAACAGCTGTTTCACCTCGGCACAACCCACTCAACGCACCTCCAG